TACTGATATTTCAGCAAAAATTAACGTGACCCATAGACATTTCTATAAATATCGTTCCAAATATATCTGAAACGTTCAATTTTTAAAAGAGTGTGGCAGTCTTTAAATAATTTAAGTAGTTTAAAAGTCTTATCCTAAACATTTTTCATTATCAATTATTGGTCAATCATTACAATAATCAATCTCTTGAAGTATATTTACTCATTCAGCTTGACAAATGAGCATAATGTCACTTTTGTACAGCCTCTCGGAGCACTCCTGGCAAAGAGAGACCTTCAACACATTCCTCCCTGGCACAATCAGACATATGAGCAGAACCACAGACCTTTCATAAGCCTATATACAGAGAAACAATAAGGGTAAATTGTAAGTGTGTCATCTTTATAGATACATGTTACTTTCATGCAGTAGGTAAACTATTTGATGGATTTGTTTTGTTGTTTTATTTTTCCAACTGTAAGTGGATCAAGTGTCATGAAACACATATGAGTAACCTATGGAGAAACATGCCCTTTCAGATTCCTTTAATGCATTGTCTGTTGTATTTAAGTTTCAGATATACTGAACTGCTTCCTAAATTTTCAGCCAATCGCACCCAGTATTACATAACCTGTTTATCATTATCATACAAAACAATCACACAGTGTTACTAAATTTCAGTTTCGTATGTCAACTTAAAAAAAAAGGCACAACAAAAAGCTGTTTTGTTCACTTGCAAAGAATATCATAATTTGACAAATAAATTCAATTTGGTTCTGATATTTCATAAACATTGTACAAGTTCTTTCGCATTAGGTGACAACTACGGAAGAATTTCCGCTTTCGTCTCTAAGTGGGGTAATAATAGTAAACAAAACATAATTTTTGTGATATTTTATAAACAGCAGGGCTTTTTTCATAGATTGGTGATGCAACCCTGCACTTAATTTTGGCAGAAAAAATATACAGAATATTTGCAAAAGGGGAAGAAAAAACTTGATGTAAATTCAATTATTGTGGAAAACTGCACAATTTCAGGGAATTTTTGTTTTGAGAAGCCACCCTTAAATGACCCCTGGTATAGAATGGAAAAAAGTCCTGAACTATCAATCAAGCAAATTTTTTTAATGCTCCCATTCAAATGATACAAACCAATTGATACTGAATAATGATCAGTGTCAGATCTTTTTCCTTTTTATTTTAACCCTTACTATCCTAATTATCTAAAATGGACCAGTCCAGCTTTCATTCCTGACAAAACCATTTATCATTTTTAGGGAAAATTTCAAAATAAGTACTGTCAGAACAGCATTGAGCGAACAGTGCAGACTATGATTAGACGGCATGGATGTGCCAGCTGATCTTGGTCTGCCCTGATTGCATGGGCAGAAGCAGTTGCTGTGGTAGGCTTAGGGTTGAATGCAGCATTTAAACATGTTAATACAAACTGCAGCTATGATGAAGCCTGTGGTAAGTCATGAAGTGGTATGTGCCCAATATTGTATGAAATTAAAGTGTAGAAATACTTTATTCTAGCTATGGAAGCCATTTACGTGTGCTTTGATCAGTATATAACTTCAGAAATATCAACAATTTTAAATATGAATTTACACAGAAATACAATATATCGTTAAAATTCAAAAGGACTTAATCTGTTACTGCACCTAGGTGCTGATATATGTTCCAAGTCATCCAGGATTCTACTTAAACCTGCGTAATGAGACCATGACAAGTTTAACAGCAAACTGCCAATTTTAACAATTGTTGTATGTCAGCAAAAATTATCAAAGTTTATTTATATGCTACACGTCAATGCATGTGAATGGAATTAAAAAATTCCCACCCACCCACGCAATGATATTCAGTGTAAAACCTGCAAACCATGCAATTTGAACCATACCTAAAATACGTTATTGAATTATCTATGATACACTTATTTATGAAAAACTATGCATCTAAGATACATAAACTAGGTCATCATTAAAATAATTCCATGCCTTATTTCACACTTCTTGTAAAATGATAAAACCCCTTTACATGTTAATTACTTCTTTATTTTTTCTTAAGCAATTTGGCAGTAGTATTTTTTTATTGCTTCTGTCCCATGACTAATTAAGAGCCAGAGGGTCATCGCTAAACAGTTTTGAACTAGTAAATATACTTTAAAATCATTTTTTGGCTTACACATCATCATGAATTTTACAACCTGAGTCAACAAATATTTGGAAAAGCCTGGTCAGTAAAACATACTACATTTATTACTCATATATGAAAGTAATAAAATTAAAATGTTTTTCATGCATGCTGCCTAAGCATTTACAAATCATTCAATTTCAAGACAAATAACACGCGTGCACCTTAAAATCATTCTACCTTAACACAGATTTAAATGTTTTGTTACATAATAAAAGAGTAAACATACCCTTATACTTTATATCTTTGCATTTAATTTACTATAGTGTACGCAACGTAAAATATAAAATTAAATGTTTACAGCAAAATTGTTGAACGATTATTTCATTTAAATTTCCCCAACCACGTCATAGTTCCTTACATAACATGTATAATAACCTAGTTTTACTTTGAACAAAAAAGCCATTTAAATTTCTTCAACAAAAAAAAAGCATGCAAGCCTAAAACAGTAATTCTGTCTTTTGTAAGAGATATTCAATGGAAGGGGGAACATTTGGTTTAACAGTGCCAAAAAAGTGTGTAAAATAAAAGAAATAAAATAAAAAGAACGACTAAATAATTATCTGCATGTATGTATTGGATTTGAAAACATTATCTGTTGGAAACTTCCCTGTCTTTCCTTGATGCCCTTGGATTTATGAGGGAAATTTTCCAAGTTATTTTACGGGTAAAATATGATGCATGGAACAAAAATGTTTGCTAATATTCAGAACATCTCAAGAGTTATTACAGTGCATAGGGGGGTATACAGGATACATGTTTTGAGTGTCCATATCAATATTTTTCACAGGCTCTTGTACTCAGACTAATGATATTGAGTGCTCAAGGATTTGAACCCACAACCTTCATATGATAAGAACTTTGATAAATTTACGTTTTATCACACCTTCATAGGAGGTAGCCTCCTGTCTAATTTATTTCACAAATGCGAGTTAAAAATAATCTTACTGCAATAAAAATCTTAAATGAACTTGTGTATCTTGTGAAAATGTGGACAAAACCATTTATCTTTTTTAAAGAAATTTCAAAAAAAAATGACTAAATGAAAACAGTGAGCCCATAAATCAGCCCGAGGGATGTCCCAGCTGTCTTTGGGTTTCACTGGTGGCATGGGTAATATTAGTTGCGACAAACAAACTAAGAGTTAAATAATAATAGCATATTGTTCTCAATATTGTACTAATTTGGTTTGGTATAAGGTCTCACAGTCACCTTTCCAGTTTGACCGGTGTCGAGAAATAACCCCTTCATGTATTGTTTCAGACATAATGCTGCTTGGTAAACCTACCAACCTATTGTTATCAGACAAAAGAAACTGCTTGGTAAAATACCAACCTATTGTTAGATAGCTTACTGAGCATAAAAGAATCCAAATTCTTTGGTGGAATTTTTAACATAAAACAGTCCGGCTCCACTGATTCAATGACACAACTTGGCCAAGGTTGTTTATTTCTCTTTTTTTTTTATTCAATCCTAAAATGCTACAGAATTTCAGTGATATATGATAAAACACTCAATTCCAATGCTAACCTTTTTTTACTAAGTTTCTTGAAAACATTCTTAGGAGGGAAGACCCCTCTTGAGCAATGAAAACCAAAAACCTTTTTTTGAACTGTTAAACAGCAACATCTTTGATGTGCCCTAGCTACAACTTAAGCGGTATGCAATACTTAACACTACTCTTTTGCTAAGCAGTATTCAATCCTTAATAATCCTAATCTAAAGTCAATGGTCCCTCAAGACCAGAAAAATAAAACAACACTAAAACGTCATGACTATCGACAAGTCAATCTGTACAATGCACATGTATTTCTTTAAATTTAATTTGTTAAGGGTACATATATATTTCATAAATCAAAATAACAGTATTTAGTGGTCAAATTACAGAGTCTCATAATGGCTTGGCTTTACTGATGACCTTAGGTCTCTTGTTACCATCACTTGCTCTTGACAATAGCCCATATAAACCTGTTGTATTTTAGGTAAATGGTCTGCTTTTTATAAATAAGTAACACAAAATGGGTAGTCTGACAACATTGTTTCTTCCACAAGAGCATCACTTATAGAACAGCTGCAGTAAGTGTAAATGACTTTGGAATTTTTCATGTGCGTAAGCTTCTGCTAGTTAACAGAGGGTCAGTGGTTCTGCTCTGATGCCTTTCTCCTGCCTGAATTAATTCACAAAAGTAGAAATCGAAAATTCCACTCTTTTGCTTATAATTATTAGTAGAATTTAAGAGAACTCGATGCAGGACGAGTAGAAAAATGTTGCCTGCACATAGGATTTAGAAGCTTCTAGTTCTGCAGGAGGAGTGACTCTGAAAAATATTTTTTGACCCTTAAAAAGGGCACCTGAGGTCTTCCTCCACCAGTAAATCTTGAAAGTTGACATATGACCTTCACAATGTCAGCATTTTGTAATATATGACTAGAATTTAACTTGACAACACAATTCATCAAAGTTATATTCCAATATAATATCTGAGTGAATGTAGCTTAAGTTGATGCTTTTCACACACTAAGCAAATAAATCATATGCTACTTTTCTATAAATACATTTTTTTATTTTTGTGGGCAGTGCATAAAAATGTTGGTGTTGTTATTGTAACATGGTTATATACACTGGGGACTGAAAACTTTTATGGATTTCATATTTCGAATCTACTTGATCTATGATGCTTGACCAGATGTGACACTTTCAGCTGCTGAATCTAGAATTAAAGCAGTCATTGAAGTTTTGTATATTAACAAAAGTTCAATTTGAATCCATACCTGGTCAAATCCATTTAACAAATTAGGAAGGATGAAGTCAAATTTTATAAACTAACCAGAATGGTCTTGTTGGTTAAAATCCCACCAATAACCTTTCGATGGATGGTACCTTGAGAATGACTGGGCTGGAAAGAAAAACAAATTTCATTATTATACATTTGAGCTAAAACCCTGGCTATGGTTACGATTTAAGGATCAGGATCAAGATCAATTTTAAAAGCTCTAATATTACCGGATCAATTATGAATTTCATTATGGTTTTATTTGTATCAAATAAATACTGGTATACATAATGCATGATTATTAATGGTTAAAAAGACACAACTATTGTTTTAGTGGTATATTACCGGAGTTATTCTAACACTGTGTAATTATTATACCCATTGACTTGACAGCCTTAGACAAGAACTATAAAAGTGTCAATAGACCACAGATGATCACCTTCCACAGTTTTGACTGGACAGACAGTGTGGTGTAAGGACAAGACCCATCCTTACCCCAAGGTTGGGGCATAACATATTTAATGCTTTAAATAGCATAAGTAAGTCACTGCCTTCTCTCCTGTAAGCTACTCAAATTGTTTTATTTTTACTTATAATGCTTTAACCATTACATAATTGATATCTTACATGCATAGTATTATTTGTCCAAACTTTTTGGGTTTTCCCCTTGGAAGAAAAAAACCTGAAGCTTTCTAAATATAGAAAACACATGGTGAATGGGAGTTTCCTAATATTCATTTTGAAATGTTATTTGTAATGTTGTTTGTCATTTATTATATATACATGTTTATATCTTAATGTATATTTGTGTATATTTCATTCCTTTTTCAAATCTAAATTTCAGTACATCTAAACAAGAGGGCCATGATGGACCTGAAGTCGCTCACCTATATATAGGTTCCCGTAGCGGGGCTAGTTTAAACCCCAGGGCTTTTATTTGAACAAACTTGGTAGACACCCATTAAAAGATGTTTCATGCTAAACATCCAAGGTCTAGCTGGTCAAGTTTTTTCTTTACACATAATTATAGTTAAAAACAATGACACACCTGGGGCAGGGCCAGTTTGGACCCAAGGGCTTTTATTTGAACAATCTTTGTAGACACTTACTAGAAAATGTTTCATGCTTAATATCTGAACTCTAGCTATTTGGGTTTTTTCAAAGAAGATTTTTAAGTTTTTGCTATACACATATAAGGAAAATCAATGACCCCCGGGGTGGGGCAAATTTTGACCCAAGGGCTTTTATTTGAACAAACTTTGTAGACACTTACTAGAAGATGTTTCATGCTTAATATCTAAACTCTAGCTATTTGGGTTTTTTCAAAGAAGATTTTCAAGTTTTTGCTATACACATATAAGGAAAATAAATGTCCCCTGGGGCGGGGCAAATTTTGACCCATGGGCTTTTATTTGAACAAACTTTGTAGACACTCACTAGAAGATGCTTCGTGCTTAATATCTAAACTCTAGCTATTTGAGTTTTTTTCAAAGAAGATTTTTTAAGTTTTTGCTATACACATATAAGGAAAATCAATGACCCCCCGGATGGGGCCAATTTTGACCCCAGGGCTCTTATTTGAACAAACTTGGTAGACATCCATTAGAACATGTTTCATGCTAAATATCTTAGCTCTAGCTCTTTGGGTTCTTTAAAAGAAGAATTTTTATGTTTTTACTATATGCATATAGGGAAAATCAATGACCCCATAGGGTGGGGCCAATTTTGACCCCAGGGCTTTTATTTGAACAATCTTATTAGACACTCGCTAGGAGATGTTTCATGCCAAATATCTAAGCTCTAGCTCTTTGTTTTTTTTAGAAGAAGATATTTAAAGTTTTTTCTTTTGGTTGCCATGGCAACCAGAGTTCTGCATGGAATTAAATTCTTTGAACAATTTTCAAAGGTGACCACCAAAGGAGCTATCTGTGAAGTTTGGATGAAATTGGCTTAGTGGTTTATGAGGAGATGTCATTTAAAGTAAAAGTTTACGGACGCCGGACGAAAAGCGATCACAAAAGCTCACCCTGTCACTTTGTGACAGGTGAGCTAAAAAGTTTATTTTCTACACCAGTTATTCCCAAAGTGTAAAACTTCATATATCAAGCTATTATTGAACTTCTAAAAATTGAGAAAAAGGAGTGAAATTCACAATTAATAGCTATGATTCAATACTCCTTCCTTATAAATATCATATTGCCCGTACTTGTATAATAATACTCTCATTAAGATTATAATGAAGACAATGAGATTGTCATTACAACAATTAATGGTACTCAATTAAGTCATGATGATCATTTTAATGGAATTCCAGCCCTTCTTTATTTAGAAACGCATGGGTGGTATCTATAATTAGAAACAACATTGGTATTTCCGATAAGCAGGCACAGAACTACTAAATATTCAATAATTCATGCATACCTTCTTCAAATGCTGATTGTAAATTATGCACTGAGTTAACCTGTAAATAAAACCGAAATAAACAAAATCATTTAAATTTTACAATCATAACAAGAAATTACAACATACAGATATCCATATTGAAGTTAGTTGCTGTGACCAGACATATTTCAATCATTTATGTTTCTCGAATTTTAACTATACTTGGATTTTGAACTTAACTATAATTTCCTATGTGATATTTCCAAATCTAATTATGGAACAAGACCTTAATTCCTTTCATTGGATACAATGCACGAGCAGGCAGATACAATGCACGAGCAGGCAGCACATGATATCAACTTTTTTCCTGCATCAACATTTACATATGTCCATAGACTATCTTAAACCTCTTGCACAGCTGGCCTTGTTTTTAAATGCATCCTTATGTTTTTTTTGTTTTTTGCGTTAACAATCTACGGCAATCCACATGTTATGCTGCCTTGCATTGCTAAAACAAACTCAATATTTATCTATTTTTCAAGTTTTAAAATACTTCAGATAGGTATGTTCATGAATCAGCTGTGAAATTTATTTTCTTCTTATAAGTAGAGTAAGTAGTAATAATTAAATGACAGCTCTGGTACTCAACTTACCAGTCTGCAGTTTAAGACAGAGCCTAGATCCGGGGCCTGGTACACAGTGCCTGCTATAATGTAATAGTCAACTTGTGGTGTCACTGAAAAACAATGAATCATGTTAATACTACAATATTTTCAACATTTCTGTTAAACTGTTAATATTTAAAAGATATGTGCAAAATTTTCAAGAGAATACCGTCAGTGGTTAATAAGATATGACCAAAATCAAGTTTACACCTTACCAACCTGAGTAAAAACGTATGGTAGACCTTCTTTTCTTCAATATTTTTAAAAACATAATTACATGTATATGAGTTTTGGCAAAAGCTTTTAAAAAAGAAATACATTGATGTCATTGCCAAAACTAACAAGACAGTTGCTACATCTATTTTGTATAGTCATGCTAAAATAAAGGACTTTAGCAGTCATTAACAATAGTTACTGATTTAAATTGGAAATCAAAAGTAATGAAATTTAGTAATATAACAGTGGGTAGGTACAATGTTTCTTCAATCAATTCGGATTGTTATGAAATTAAAGGGCCATTTCAGACTAAATGATGTCAACCTGATATTAATTCTTAACCTGCTTGAAACAGACTGATCAACTTTGTCACCACTCAACTGCCGGGCCAGCCTGCATATCAGTGCAATGTAACCAGACTCAAGGAGCTGCAAAATTAATTGTCTGTATTGCCAAGGTTATCCCACAGTCTGTATGGACAAGTGACTTTTTCCAGAATCTACTTTATGAATATCATACAGACAAGTAAAGAAATGCTTCAGGTTAAAACAGACAAGTCAAAATCAGATTTTGCCGGCCCTGATGCTCTATGTGGTCGGTAGCTCAAATGAGCCGCGTCACGACAAAACCAACATAGTGTGTTTGGGACCAGCATGCTCATCCGCGCAGTCTGATCTATCATCAGGATCCATGCTGATCGCTTACAAACCATATAACAAGTACAGAAACTGATAGCGAACAGCATGGATCCTAATCAGACTGCGGGGATGCGCAGGCTGGTCTGGACCCATGCTGGTCGCAAACCCATTATGTTGGTTTTGTCGTGACGCGGCTCAAATTTTTATTTTCATATTGAAATCCCTTAAAATTCAAATCGGCAGCTCCAAACTCAATGCAGATCAAAGCATTTAAATAAAATAAATTAATAAGCCGGTAAAGGGATTAAATACTTACCATGTTGTTGACTGTGTCTATACTGTTTCCGTATAATATACAAGATAGGTTCTTGGACATGAAGGACAATATACTCTGTACCTGTCATATTCCTAAAACATTAAAACAAGCAGTGTTTTAATTTCAAATTCATGTCCAATATCATACATGTAAAAGCTTTTATAACTGTTATGTGTAAAATCTCTGCTATGAACATGTACAATATACTACAAAAATTCACTACAGTAATGACAAATAAAACTTATACAAGGAAGAAACTGTTACAAGACTGGCATGACTTTGCTTAGCTCAAAAACTAAAAACCATTGAAATGATAGTCAAAACACTATACATGTAATAATAATGATATATACAAAATTTGACTTAAATTACAGAAATTTTACTTAAGTAACTAACATCCAACTCTTCAGATTTACATTGATATAGGTATACAGTGTACATGTAGGTACTTAATGCCTACAAAACAGTAATGGAGGAAGCTGTTTTATAGATCTTATCTGCTGAAACCTTTATAGATCCAAACTAACAAAAAAATAGTACTTTGATTTTGGCAATTACAATAAGAAGCTGTTTAACATAGCTTTGTTTTTCAAAATGGGTAGACAACTCACACAAGATGGTCCTGACTAAGCCTCTGCATTTTAATAATCTCGTTGTTACATTGTCTATCATAGAATGGATTACTCCTCTCACTGAAGTAGTCTAACACATTACCTGCATTTAGTACAGGTATCCATGCACTATCGTGCCAAGTTATACTTAAATTATGCTCTGAAATAACAACAAAAATTCATTTGTATTATCTACATGTAATTTTGTACTGGTGAAACAAGCCATCTTATCAAGTAGCTCAAGCCTGTCAATCATATAATTAAAACAGACCCCAGTATTTCAAATCTAAGTTAAAAATGAGGTACATAAGACTATGCTTTATCTAGAGCATTAAAATATATTTTCAAGTATTTAATTAATGCTGAGCATTTCAGAATCAGAATTAATCCTAACACTATTAATAGCAATAAAGAAAATAAAAGTCATGACTACAGTACCAGTAGATTAAGGATTTATAAAATACGATCAATCACCATAGCACAATTTATTAATGGCCAATATAGAAATAAAGTTACATGTTTATTTTATGCTACATGTCAACTATTTAAGGTCTGGTCATCTACTTAGTGTGACATTAAAAGTAGTTTTCTACTCAGAGTATTGTATGCTTATTGTATGGTATATCTGGCAATCTTTTCTAAGCTGGTTAGATGGTTTTTGCTGTAAAGCAACTGAGTCTTAACATTCCAGGTCATTGGTGACCGACCCGCTCAGTTTTCATTTGGAATTTGGCAAGGTCATGCAGCCACACCTCTCCGGGTTTCTGGCAATGCGCAAACTATACAATGTTGGTAATAAACTGTATATTAAGATCTACCCTTAAAAATTGTTAAAGGATAACAAATAAAGGATCACAAAATAGGTGTTTTGTCTGAGAATAGCTTTTAAAACAAATATATTAGATGTAATTTTAATAGATAAAAAGAAAACTACAAGACTGAGATAAAAGAAGAAAAAATAATTCAAACAAGTGTCAAGTGACACTCTGACATTTTTTTTGAAGTGGTGACCTGATTACAGACTCAGTCTTTAACTAATTCTGAAGTAACAAGACCAAGATTTGAAATTTTCTAACAGCAGATTTTCGTACAGAAAATGTAAAATCCCAAGACACACCTGGACACATCCAAACCATGTCTGATGATGACATGTATCTATATTTAGAAAATGACAAAGAGGAAAAAACCCTAAAAGCAGTGTATATATTATATCATTCACATTAAAATATGCTATACGCTTTCGGACACTGCAGCAATAATAGATTCTTTGGAATAACTTGAACTAGTCTTTATTTGAAAGCAGAACAAAAATAAAAATTAAGAATTTTAATGCAATTTTAACGCATAAATTCGGGTGTTCGTGTCATTGATATGGTAACTTTGGTGACAATAACATTAAAAGTACTTTGCGAATTATAATTTTCAATGTGACAGATGCTTACCTTTATCGGTTGACATATTTATGCAGTAAACAGTGATTTTGTAAAAAAAAATAAATTCTAAATTCAGTAAGACGGATCCTTGTAAAATATACAAAGTATGACATTTACCAATTTACTAGGGTATACGACACTAATAGTGCACAGAAATTATTGTTAAAAAATCTTGCAATTAAAAAATTTTTGATGCGGGAAAAGAAATAACAATGTGGTGCTTAAATATATGTATATTTTGAACAGTTACTTGAATGTAAATATAAACAGAAAAAAAATTGAGTAGGTAGGCCAAATTCAGTTATCCAAATTCAGTGATTCTACAAAGTTTCAAGGCATGTATAAAAGGAGGATGCTGCTATTCTTACAAATCCTGGTGACTTTTGCTGTCTTGAAAAACATACATTGTAATGGTAAGTTTTCACTTTATTTGGTTTAAGAGTAAGTTAAATATGTAGCCAATTTATATTAAGAGTCTATAAGGCAATCACAATCATTTATATTGTACCTTGATTAAAATGAAATTCCTAATGTTTCCATTTTGGAGAGGTATAAATTTGTTTCATTAAATTAAGTCTCGAAGATTGAGTATTTGTTGAGAGCTAAAGGAAATGTCAGTGTTTTTGAGTGAATCAGAATTGGTTGAATGATAAGTTGGTCAGATAGCATTGGTATTAATTGAAGGCATATAACATCAAATGAACTTTTTTGAGTATAATCATTGTAAAATTTTCAATTTTATTTCATTTATTTATTTTATCTTATTTTATTTTATTGTATTTTATTTTATCTTATAGGATTTATTTCATTTTAATGGATTTTATTTATTTATTTATTTTTATTTATTCATTTTTTTTTGTAACTTGAGTATTGAATGTCATATAAATTAGGCAGTATAAATAATTATTTAAAATAAGATTAAAACAAACAAACAAAAACACAAAATTGGTAATCTTCCCATTGGCAAATATAAGACAAGTAAAATACATTGTAACAGTATCAAGAGACAATGATTTCTGAAACAATTTCAATTTGGATTATTAATTTAAAAAAAAATATGTCAGCGGCTAAAAAAAGGTCAATGGCTTAAATCAAACAACCAGTGCAGACCAGAAGATCAGCTGTTACACAGACCAGAAGATCAGCTGTTACACAGACCAGAAGATCAGCTGTTACACAGACCAGAAGATCAGCTGTTACACAGACCAGAAGATCAGCCCTTGCTGTTACAGCTATACCATCTGATCATGGTCTTCACTGTTCCCTGTTCAGTCTCTGTACATACAAATTTTCCCTAAAAATTATAAATGGTATTGTCCAGACTTAAAGATGGACAAGTCTATTTAAGATATTTAGCATGGTAAGGGCTAAACTTAAATGGAATGTTTTAGTTTCAAAGTAAAAGCCAAGTTCATCATACATGTATCAGTTCAGCATTGTAATTTAGCATCATACATTTACTTTAATTTTACATATCTTGTTTGTAGGTACATTGTGTAACGGAAACTGGGCAGATAATGATGAGGTGTGTTGTGGTGGGGAAATATATCAAAAATTCCAGAATTCAAAAGAGATGGCATGCTGTACGCGGTCAGGTAAATTGTTTACATTTTATAAACAATGCATTAGATAAGATTTATTTCGTCATAATGTACATACATGGTAATTAATATAACACATTAAGTGAAACATAACGTAACATTAAACATAAGCACAAAAATCAATTATTGGCAATGATTAGCACACCAACACCCTGTATGAGTTATTGGTCAATTAACAACATTATGATAATTTCATACTCCCCGTCACTGGCCTTAAAAATAATTGCGTGAAAGTACCGGAATAAATATGATATCATAAATACTGCCGTTGTGGGGAGGGCTGTTGCTAATGTTGTCATAACTTGTAGCCCCACCCATTTACACTATATCTCTTTGTGAATATTTGTTTTTGTATCATTCATGTAACTTTAATGTATTTAAGTAAAGATAAGTTGCAATAAAATATTATTAAACTAAACACCAGGGATAACACAAAAAAGGTAAACCCTTATTTCCATTGTTGTCCCATTGAATGAAAATATTAATGTCTCTATATATTTTATTTTCATAACTGTATTTATGAAATTACATCCAATGTAATTTTGTGTTTATTAACCCTTTCCCCCATGAGCATATTGTGAAAAATGGCCATTTTCACTGAAAAGCCTCCTCTTACAAGTTCAAACTGCTATGAAACTATGAAAAAAGCTTCAATACTAATCAAACTTGGCACAAATGTTGACTGGACCATTGCTTTTGTAACGACATGCTCAGTCTTAAATTTCCTGTTACCATGGCAACGAGGGGACATCTCAAAATGGCCAAAAATCACTATTTTGCCTCGATTTTTTCCATCAAAATTTATTTCAAAGTGCTGCAACTTGTCAAGGGATTGAGATAGAGTCAAAGGCTTTTCAGCGTTGGTTACACGTTACCTTATGATCGACCTGGGGTCATTTTAAGCCTCTCACAAGTCCAAAATTTTCTTGGCTATGAGGGGGACTCTGCCCCCCTTCAAACCCCCCAAACAGAAGGGGGCACATTCACCTTCTGGCAACCCCCTGATGTATCTTTTGGATGGGGGGCGGCGCCGAAAAAGTGCTCACTTTTTTTAGAAACATTTCTCAAACGAAAACATGTGTTGGGGGCCCAAATAGGACATTTTTTTCACTATTTCAGGCCTAAAAAATGGGGGGGGGGGGGTCGAAAGTGCGTTGTTTCACATATATATGAGGTAAAGGGTTAATGATATATTAATTACGTAATGTTGTATTCTAAAAGGAAAAAAAATGCAAACAAGAGCTGTCGGTAGGACAGCATCGCTCGACTATTCTTAGTGCTTGATTGTAAAAAAAAATGCTTGATACAATTACCTCCTCCTGTTTAAAGGTTGGGGTCATGATGGTGAACAAGTGTGCAAAGTTTGAAAGCCATATGTCAATGGACTTTGAAAATTTATGAACTATTACAAAAACTTTAACGCAAATTCTAAGTCAAAAAAGGGGCATAATTCTGTCAAAATGCTTGATAGAGTTACCTCCTCCTGTCTACATGTCGGGGTCATGATGGTGAACAAGTGTGCAAAGTTTCAAAGCCATATGTCAATGGACTTTGAAAATATTTGAGGTATTACAAAAACTTTAACGCAAATTCTAAGTCGAAAAAGGGGCATAATTCTGTCAAAATGCTTGATAGAGTTACCTCCTCCTGTATACAGGTTGGGGTTATGATGGTGAACAAGTGTGCAAAGTTTCAAAGCCATATGCCAATGGACTTTGAATATATTTGAACTATTACAAAAACTTTAACATACAGTCGACTCCACTTATAACGAACTCGCTTATAACGAATTATCGTTAATAGCGAACTAAATCTGACATCCCCGGCCGAGTCCTTCTTTATTTTATATTTAATCACATCGCTTTATACGTACTCGCTTATAGCGAATTTCGGCTATAACGAACCATTTTTCAAGGCCCCAAATGACGGAAAACATTTAAAATTCCTCGGTTATAACAAACTGTTATAATTGAAATATCGGGATGCGCTCGATTAGGATCAGTACACGAATAACACTATCCGATAATTTAACAATCGAATGATTGCACAGGAATGGCTTCAGGGAATAAAGATTTTGAAAACTGTTCTCACAACATAATTTCCTACTTGTTACGGAAAATTTGTATTTCACACCCTCAGTTGATTGATGTAAATGCCCGATAATTGCCGAGTAATCGATTTTTTGTGTTTGCAATATTAACCAAACGATAATAAACAAATAGCAAAAGAAAACAAATGGTAAGAACTTCATAGACAATACATGAATAAATTTATGTACCATGTACATAATATATTGCTCAATAAAATGCCCTGCATTAAATAATCATTAAATAACCGCTGCAGTAAAATACCGGTTACACAGGTAACCAGTGAAGAGTATGGCTTTTTCACTGCAAATTTCCCCATCCAAACAAGTCAGAAAGTTGTTGCTACTTCGCTTTTAGCGAACTTCGGATATAACGAACGATATTTTAATGTCCCATTGAGTTCGTTTTAACCGGAGTCGACTGTAAGTGGTTACGCCGACGCCGACGCTCGGGTGACTACAATAGCTCTACTTATTCTTATCGAATAGTCGAGCTAAAAAGGGACATAATTTTGACATAACATATTTCAATGTTTAAAATAGCATATGTCAATTCGCTTAATAACACAGTAGAGTCATGTTAACCAAATAGGTGCACACTATACAAATATAGTATTTTAAAAGGTTATCCAATAATAAATTCTCAGTCTAATACATAGAGGATATTCATGTTTTTTCTATAAATACATGATTTATTTTCATCGAGTGGTATGAAAATAAATATTTCATGAGTGGCGGTAGCCACGAGTGAAATATGGTAATTTTCATGCCACAAGATGAAAATTAATCATGTATTTATAGATAAAACTTGAATTTTCTGTTTATTATATACATTTTTCTCTTTTTTGACATTAAAATTTAAAAGACTTTCCCTTAAATTTTGTGTACTGGCAGAATTTAAAAGAAAGTAGTCCGACAAGACACCAGTGAAAATATGGAAAATATGTTTCACTGCAGTGAAAAATAAATTTTTACAGTGAAAATACGGAAAATGAAAATACGCATTTTATTCTATCAATATTTCTCAATATTTCATTTATAAGTATATAATAAAAATTTAAATTACAAAAACTGCATAACTTCAGTGGAGAGTTGTTGCCCTTGACTTTCTCAGTGATAAGAGTTAAAGATTCATATAGTGTTAAGCAATTCTTAATCTTTTTTTTTTTGTCTCCAAAAAAATTGATTCATTAAGCTAAATGTAGTTTTTGACTAGTGTGTGACACATAATATTATATAGAACCAGGGCATTTCAACTTGGCTGTAAAATGTTCACTGCCTAATGTTAATATACAAATATTGAAATCTCATAGACTAATCAAAGCACAGAAGGCGCTGAATTTGTTTGGGTCTCAGAATGTCAGAAAGGTGAAGGTTGTGTGATTATAAAACAATTTGTTTTTTTTGGTATAGTGCCATAAATGCTTTCCAGTGTTTTAACTGTAGTAAATTGGCTATAAGACTAATTGCAACACTGATATTCAATTCAATGTTTATTTGACCTTAAATGGGATTTGAACTCCAGACCTCTTGATTCCTAAGCGAGCGTGCAAACCCCTCGACCACGGAGAAGTTATGTTTAAACAGCCTTAAGAAAACCATATTATTCTAAATTAGGGTTTGTAACTCTTATTATTTCGACGCTAAACCTATTGTTTAAGACAGATGTAAATAATCATGGAGCTTACTATAAGCATGTATATCTATAAAGAATAAACAATATGAGAAATTTTCGACCATTTGGGAACTATTTTGCTTGAAAATTAATGCGCCTGTCATTTGACAATCTTTACGCAGTGATTTCCCCTGATTTTTTCGGTGTTAGTGCACATATAAAGGGAAGTAACCGCTTCAAAAAAGTGGACTACTTTCGGCATTTGCAATTAACAGCATCAAAGTCTGAAATTTCGCTACCATTATTTGTTTGGTCTGACGACCCAAACAAATAAAAATGGACTGTACCAAATTCAAAGCAGGATTTGTATATTACATGATATTGGCAGTGTAAGAGTTTAGGCATATCCTGTTAAATATCATGATATTCTTTATTTTTCAGGGAAGACAGAATTATATCCCATGGGTGAGAAAATTTGTTGTGGGGAACAACTGATTCCAGTGCAACCAAACCAAAGCCTTGCATGCTGTAACAAGGAGCTAATAGACATTAACATATATTGTAAATAGATGGTTGTTTTTTATTTTGACTTGGCATCATTTACGTCATTTATGTTTTACAAACTTACTGTAAAAATGCTCTTAATGTTAACATAACACTAGAGGCGCGTCAATGAAAAATGTCAAATTCTTTTACACTTTAAACAGTCTTTATTTTGGGTATGTGATAAATAGAATATTATATTAGTGTAGGTTCATTACTGAATTTATTGAACTTGTTATTTTCTTCAGTATTTATCTTTTCAGTTATCATATTTCAGATACATTATAAAAATAACACCTATGTCTCTCAGGGTAATAGTGCATATTAGCAATTGAATGGAAATAACACCCTGAGGTGGAACCGAGAGTATTATTTCAGTTCAAGGCTTTCTAATATGCACTTTTATTCCTGAGAGACATACAGGTGTTAATTTTTTTACAATAAGGAATAAACATTTTAATATAATTTTTCACCGCTATGCATTATTGCCCCGAGAGCCATTCATCATTGTTTTTTATCAGGGGAGGGAACTAGAACACATTACATTTTCTTAAGTCTATATACCTGGTAGATTACTCACTCCTGGAGAACATTGGGTGATTTTCATTTCCAGAATGATAGATCAAAATAACTCCATATGACGTGACACTTGATTACAAGCTAGCTAAGGTAAAAAGTTTGTGTGACATATAATAAATATAATTATCATATATTTAATATATTACAGTGTTTCATATTTTTATTTTCTTTCACTTTGTACAGCATGTTGCGGTAATAAAGACTTTGGAAGGAAATACAAGTCTGGAAAATGTTGTGTAGATTGGGATAATAAGACAGTTGGCATCCATGAAGGTCTTAAGGGTCGCAAAAAATGTTGCAGCACAGAGGTATATAACAAAGACACAGAAAGATGTATATATGGACCCCTGAATAAACACAAAATTATAGTAAGAAAGACATCAATGAGGAAATGTGGGACTAAGCAATTTAACTCTGACACCTCATTATGCTGCGAACAAAATGGTACATAATTTATTTAATATCCTTTTGTTTTATACATATATATGATGTATATATATACATGTATAAAAAGACTATATACAAATATTTCATATTGTAAGGGGTGTTAAAGCTGCATGCAGCTGGCAAATATGCTGCTTGTGTATACAAATTTTGTAAAAAAAGCATATGATCCCTTTTTAAAGCTGCATGCCTCCAGATGAGCCAAAATATTTCAAGAAAATCAATATTGAGAAAAATGTACTAAAATTTTGAGAAATATAAAATCATTCAAAATCCAAGTTAAATCTAAAATGTTGTGTACGTTTAAGACTGATTTTTCAGTATTTAATCACCATATTTCTACTGAATTACTAATGCAATAAGGGCTGTTTTTGCATATGTTGACCATTTTTTGATAATTTTCGTGGATTGTTCGTGCTGATTGCAATATTTAAATTACTTTATTAGTTCACCTCACAATATTTTACTTTTAAATACATTTCCAAAATTTTCATGAAAATAAACATGCTGCTTTAATGGTGATTTCTAAAAAGAGTGTAAACAGAATTCATACGTAGCAGATTTAATTTAGATATTCTCTATAATTCCTCCTTTAATTTTACAGAAATGGTCATTCCAAAACCACCAGTTAAAAGTGGTGGTAAGCAACCTTACTGGATTTGCTGGAATGACAAAGCTTATGATGCAAATTTATACTATTTGGATGAAAAAACATCTCGAGTAATTCTGATAGGGTTGGCAAGTTGTGACAATGGTAATTTGGTTTTTTAATTCAAAAAAGTTAATGTTATCTGTATAAATTATTATAATCTTAATATTTGACAAACTATTTGTATCTACTAATGATATTTCTACATATAATCTAAATTATGTGCATGACAACCAAATTTAATCTGTTTCTATTTAATTTATAATACTCTCAATATATGACAACAACATTTTTGCTATATCTGTATTACAAAAGCAATATGTGACGAATTTCATGCTTTTCTGAATTTCACTTTTTTTTCAGTTGAATATAATCCTAGTGCGCAGATGTGTTGTGGCAACAAGTTATTCCCAAGAAATCCTGGAAAGAATTCCACGTGCTGCGGCAATGGAATCTGGGACCTTGATGATACCAGTGAGACATGTTGTAATGGAACGTTTATTCCTACCTCAAATCATGGTTGTTGTAATGAAGGTATGTGTATTTACAAAATGGGAAATTTAACAGATGTTTTACAGGTTGAAATATGATTTTTTTTTCTAACCAGCTCAAAGAAGATTTCAATGGTTTGAGTGAATACCTGTAGTATTTGGTTTATGATGTTCAGACATAGATTTTTTTTTTGTTTCAACCCTTACCAGGTAAAAAATTCCAAATGAACTTGTTAAGAAAAGATTAACAAGAGCATTTTTCATTATGAATTTTTCGGAAAATTTCAAATTACATATAAACTTAATAGCTAAAACAGTGCAGACCATGATCAGAGGGTAGAGACATCTCAGTAGATCTTGTTTTGCACAGGATGCACAGGTTAATCCTTATAATAGTCTCAAGGAGGTAATGGGTTAAAGGCACATACTCAATTGAGAAAAAATTCAAACATGAATTGTCTAGATTGTTTCTGACACATCAAGCAAGATTTAATTTAAATAAACTTTCCTTGCTCAACTTATTTGATGCCTATTTAAAGTTGAACAGATTGTAGTTGATTAAATGACATGCTTCTGACTAAACGTTTAATGATTTCATTATATACATTTGTATTTATATTTCCATGCAAATTGTGAGCTGCCTATATCTTAATGATTTTATTATAAACTTTTAATGTATCATAATAAAAGTGTCATTCAATATCTGTTATTACTGAGCAATAGGTATCTTGGCAAATTTAAAACTAGAACTATCACTAAATGTGATTAATACCCCCACAAGACTGCTTCGGAAATGAGGATGTTACTAGTAACAGAATACCTTGTAAAAGAATATGGTTGTGGGCAATTAAAGATAGTTATGGTTCTTATATGTTGCATTTCCTTTCAATGTGGTTGGCCATTGATGAAGTTTAATTGAATTACTCTGTAATAAGTCCAGAAATACAAAGAAAAGGAACAAAGGGCAATAACTCTATAAATACTGAAGATAGAATTATCGTTCTTGTGCACTGCACTTCCTCTTATTGTGTTTGACAATTGTATGAAGTTGTTTTGAATTCCAACCAGTAGTTTTCAAGTTATGCCCCGGACAAGGAAAAGTAACAAAGGGCAATAACTCTGTAATTAGTCAAGATAGAGTTATGGTTCTTGTGCACTGCACTTCCTCTCAATGTGCTTGACCATTGTATGTAGTTATATTGAATTCAAACTATTAGTCTTCAAGTTATGGTCCGGACAAAAAAAAGCAATGGAAAAGTAACAAAGGGCAATAACTCTGTAATTACTTTAGATAGAGTTATTGTTCTTATGCACTGCACTTTCCCTTAATGTGTTTGACAATTGTATGAAGTTGTTTTGAATTCCAACCAGTAGTTTTCAAGTTATGCCCCGGACAAGGAAAAGTAACAAAGGACAATAACTCTGTAATTAGTCAAGATAGAGTTATGGTTCTTGTGCACTGCACTTCCTCTCAATGTGCTTGACCATTGTATGTAGTTATATTGAATTCCAACCATTAGTCTTCAAGTTATGCTCCGGACAAGGAAAATGCAACGGAAGTCTGGACCGACCGACCGACCGACCGACCACCGGGTGACTCCTATATACCCCCCCAAACTTCGTTTTTGGGGGTATAATGATATGATAAATTGTTTTTATACCCCCAAAAACGAAGTTTGGGGGGTTATATAGGAGTCACCAGGTGGTCTGTCGGTCAGTCGGTCCAGACGTCCGTTGCATTTTCCTTGTCCGGAGCATAACTTGAAAACTAATGGTTGGAATTCAATATAACTACATACAATGGTCAAGCACATTGAGAGGAAGTGCAGTGCACAAGAACCATAACTCTATCTTGACTAATTACAGAGTTATTGCCCTTTGTTACTTTTCTTTGTCCGGGGCATAACTTGAAAACTACTGGTTGGAATTCAAAACAACTTCATACAATTGTCAAACACAATAAGGGGAAGTGCAGTGCACAAGAACCATAACTCTATCTAAAGTAATTACAGAGTTATTGCCCTTTGTTGCTTTTCCATTGCTTATTTTTTGTCCGTTGCATTTTCCTTGTCCAGAGCATAACTTGAAGACTAATGGTTGGAATTCAATATAACTACATACAATGGTCAAGCACATTGAGAGGAAGTGCAGTGCGTAAGAAACATAACTGTATCTTGACTAATTACAGAGTTATTGCCCTTTGTTACTTTTCCTTGTCCGTGGCATAACTTGAAAACTACTGGTTGGAATTCAAAACAACTTCATACAATTGTCAAACACAATAAGGGAAAGTGCAGTGCACAAGAACCATAACTCTATCTACAGTAATTACAGAGTTATTGCCCTTTGTTGCTTTTCAATTGCCTTCTTTTTTTTGTCCGGACCATAACTTGAAGACTAATGGTTGGAATTCAATATAACTACATACAATGGTCAAGCACATTTAGAGTAAGTGCAGTGCATAAGAACCATAACTCTATCTAAAGTAATTACAGAGTTATTGCCCTTTATTACTTTTCCATTGCTTTCTTTTGTCCGGACCATAACTTGAAGACTAATTGTTGGAATTCATTATAACTTCATACAATGGTCCAGCACATTGAGAGAAAGTGCAGTGCACAAGAACCATAAACCCATTTTGACTTATTACAGAGTTACTGGCCTTTGTTTCTTTTCCTTGTCCAGAGCATGACTTTAAAACTACTGGTTGGAATTCAAAACAACTTCATACAATGGTCAAGCACAATAAGGGGAAGTGCACTGCACAAGAACCATAACTCCATCTTGACTAATTACAGAGTTATTGCCCTTTGTTACTTTTCCATTGCTTTCTTTTGTCCGGACCATAACTTGAAGACTTATTGTTAGAATTCATTATAACTTCATACAATGGTCAAGCACATTGAGAGGAAGTGCAGTGCATAAGAACCATAACTCCATCTTGACCAATTACAGAGTTACTGCCCTTTGTTACTTTTCCTTGTCCAGAGCATGACTTGAAAACTACTGGTTGGAATTCAAAACAACTTTATACAATGGTCAAGCAAAATAAGGGGAAGTGCAGAGTGCAGTGCACAAGAACCATAACTCCATCTTGACTAATTACAGAGTTATTGCCCTTTGTTACTTTTCCTTGTCCAGAGCATAACTTGAAAACTACTGTTTGGAATTCAGTACAACTTCATACAGTTGTCATGGACATTCAAAGGAAGTGCAGTGCACAAGAGCAATAACTCCATTTTGACAAAATACAGAGTTACTGCCCTTTGATACTTTTCCTTGTCCGGAGCATAACTTAAAACGTACTGGTTGGAATTCAAAACAACTTCATACAATGGTCAAGCACAATAAGAGGGAGTGCAGTGCACAAGAACTATAACTCTATCTTCAGTATTTATAGAGTTATTGCCCTTTGTTCTTTTTCTTTGTCTTTCTGGACTTATTACAGAGTAATTCAATTAAACTTCATTAATGGCCAACCACATTGAAAGGAAATGCAACATACATGAACCACAATTATCTTTAATTGCCCACAACCATAACTCTATGTTTCAATTCTTTTACAAGGTATTCTGTTACTAGTAACATCCTCATTTCCGAAGCAGACTTGTGGGGGTATTAATCACATTTAGTGATAGTTCTAGTTTAATTTATTTTATTCTAAAAACTTGTAAAATTTGTGTTTGTTATGAAATCAACACAGAATCAACTGAATTTATCATTAATTTTTACAGTTCCCTTTAAAAAGGGTCATGATGTTGAGTGCTGTGCTAGAGAACTGTACGACAAGACATCACATCTCTGCTGTAAGTCACAGTCAAGTTACATGACTGTCCAACCAAAACTGTCAGCCGACCATACTGCTTGTTGCAAATCCCCAGAGACAAACCAGATGAAAACCTTTAATAATTATACCGAGGTAGGCCGTATGATATATCTGTAAAAATATGTATAGCTTTAATATGTCATTTATGTAAGCTGCATCAGGTCTTGGAGGTAGGCCGTAGCGAAATAATCAGTCTATTTTCAGTCAATGTTTTCAATTGCATAACTCCATACATTTTAACGAGAATGATAGAATTTTCTTTCAGAGCTATCAGTCTTACATTACTCATTTCATAACTTAATGATTTCACTTTGTTTTCAAGGAATGTGTTAACGGACAAGTGAGAGAAAAAGTTTCAAATAATGTTGTCACCCCTCGGCAAATTTCTGAAATAAACCCCCCAAAGAAGCCTGCCAGATGTGAATTCTGTAGAAATAGACTCGATGCTGCTCATTGTAAAAAAGCAAATGGTAATTTTTTTAACTTTTCTTCATCTCTTTATTCAAAAGACATATTCTGGAATTAAAAATTTTGGTTTTCCTAGCTAATTCAGGGATACAAACCACAGGTAATGTACCAGGGCATTAGCTTGGAAATACCTACATTTGCCGAGTACTGGAAAACATGTATTGTCTAGTTCTTAAATACCTTCACTGCTATATTTGTGGTAGTCTCTAAGACTTTATATTTGGAACAGTTTGGACAAGACCATTCATTCTCTGTTTTAGGATATTCATAAGTACAAACTGAATAGAGAAAAGGGCAGACCATGATCAAGATGGCATGAACGTAGTGGCTGATCTTGGTCTGCACTGGTCTCTTGGGTAGATTCTATAGCCGCCAGCAGACTTTAGGTTAACCTTTTACCCCATATGCATATTGTGAAAATGGCCGTTTTCATTGAAAAGCCTCCTGTTACAGGTTCAAACTGCTATGAAACTATGAAAAATGCTTCAATACTGATGAAACTTAGCACAAATGTTGACTGGACCATTGCCTCTGTAACAGCATCCTCAATCATAAATTTCCTGTTAGCATGGCAACGGGGGGATATCTCAAATTTGCGAAAAATCAATACTTTGCATTGTTTTTTTTTTCTATCAAAACTGATTTTCAAAGTTCTGCAACTTCTAAATGAATTGAGATAGAGTAAAATGCTTTTCAGCGTTGGTTACTAGTTACCCTAAGATCGACACGAGGCCATTTTAAGCCTGTCACATGTCCAAAATTTTCTTGGCGATGAGGGGGACTTCCGCCCCACTTCAAACCCCCCAAACAGAAGGGGGCACATCCCCCTTCTGGCAACCCCCTGATGTACCATTTTGATGGGCGGCAGTGCCAAAAAAGTGCTCACTTTTTTTAACAACATTACTCAAACGAAAAACAGTGTTTGGGGTCTAAATAGGGCATTTTTTCACTGTTTAAGGCCTCAAAAAGGGGGAGCCAATAAAACATATTTATATGAGGTAAAAGGATAAATAACTGCTACAATGATTTTTCCCATTGGCATGATTTATTTGACTGCGATTGTATTAAAAGAGTACTTTTCCTATATTTTCAGTGTACGAATTCTTCGTGTATGATCAACGAGAGAGTGAAAATGGCACAATCTTTAATGCCATTATTCTTCAGCCATTTAGAAGAAGTGGAAAAATTCTAACTGGTGAAAAGATAAAGATTAGAACCCGTAACCAGTGCGAATGTTTCAAACCCAAAAGGAGTTTTTACCTCTTCACAAATCGTAAAATCAAAAGTTTAAAACAAAATAGATATAATATACGATTTACATCCAGTGATGTATTCATACGCAAGACTGAACATTCTTTAGTAGTTAAATGTCTTACACAACACCATTTAGGCACCAATAAGAGTAGGCGTCGTCACTCATGAGGTCAGGAGTTTTCTTGCCACTAATTTATAATACGAGATTATTTTTTCACGTCAAAATTTGAAGCTTCAAGTTTTACTATCACAAAAATAACTAATTATTATAGAAAATATGAATTTGTCTTTTGTTTGAGAATAAAGATAAAGTAGCCCAAGGTAAAACCAGGTAAAAGTTATATGTGTAACTATTGTTTATGGTTAAAGTACATTTAATATACTCTGAATAGGTGATACTGATGTCTTGTTTTTTTTCTAAATGAAAAGAAAACCTTTATGATGTAAGTTTGAATGTTTCTTAGTTTAGACTACTATGTACAATTTGTATATACATGTATATATTGTTTTCTTAGGATTGTTACATGAACAATTAGACTAGCACTGAAAATTATGAGAAGTTTTATGCTTATTGATTTAGAACAAAGGGACTGGTCTATTGTGACTTTTATAGACACAATATGATAATATGGTTTAACGTTGTGTTGGATCAAACCATTGTAAGACTGGTCCATTGTGATTTTGTCTGATGAGATATGAGACCAGTCTTATAAATGTGATTTTAGCCTGCAAGAGTATCTTCCCTTAAAACTATTAGAACAGTGATATAAAGTTAGGCTATGTTGAGTTAAAACATTTGGAGTTTGTGTTGAGTTAAAACTATTTGGAGACTGGTCTTTGTGATTTACGTTCGGTTAGACTATTGTGATATAAGGCTATTGTGATTTTAGCTGCAGTCTATGATTTAATGACATATTAGACTATTGTTGTTTATGGACGAAAGTGAGATTGGTCAATTATGTTTTTTAATTGAGTGTTTACAGTTAGCTCTAAATAATAGAAAAACGTTGCAGTTTTGATGATGCATCAAACCTGTCTATTGTGAAATTGAAGAATGTATTAAGTAGTGTGGAAGTGACTTGTGGTTACAAGATACTGAACAATTGTAATTTATTTATTTGCATAGGTGTTTATGTTTTTTGTTGTTGTTTTTTAATGTGTTTGATATAATAATTGGGACAATCTGTGACATATTTTGTAATGACTTGTGTGATGTAACATGTTAATATAAATAATTGTTTCCTAGAAACAGAAATATTTTGATATTTTTCACAAAGCCAGTGTATTTCAAATGACATATTTTGCAGCACTTCAAATTTCAGAGTACATATTATTATTTTTTTAATCACTTATAAATGTATGTAAAATTTATAAAAAAAAACTTGCTCATACTTAAAAGGCAGCTAAACACATAAATGTTTTCTCTGAATTCATGTAATATCTATCACAATTTAAACAGCATTAACCCTGTCATTGCTTTATCCTTGAGGGACCTTCATTATGAATATTTAATACATGTAACACAAAACCGAACAGCCAAGGGCATAGAGTGTTGTCAAACTGCCTGGATGTTCAGACTATATCCTTGTTCTGTTCATACTAGCCTTGTTCGATTCAGACTAGCCTTGTTCGACTCAGACTAACCTTGTTCGATTCAGACTAGCCTTGTTCGATTCAGACTAGCCTTGTTCGATTCAAACAAGCCTTGTTTAATTCAGACTAGCCTTGTTCGATTCAGACTAGCCTTGTTTGGTTCAGACTAGCCTTGTTTGATTCAGACTAGCCTTGTTCGGTAAAGACTAGCCTTGTTCGGTTAAGACTAGCCTTGTTCGATTCAGACTAGCCTTGTTTAATTCAGACTAACCTTGTACGGTTCAGACTAGCCTTGTTTGGTTTAGATTAGCCTTGTTCGATTCAGACTAGCCTTGTTCGATTCAGACTAGCCTTGTACGGTTCAGACTAGCCTTGTTCGATTCAGACTAGCCTTGTTCGATTCAGACTAACCTTGTACGGTTCAGACTAGCCTTGTTCGATTCAGACTGGCCTTGTTCGATTCAGACTAGCCTTGTTTGGTTTAGACTAGCCTTGTTCGGTAAAGACTAGCCTTGTTCGGTTAAGACTAGCCTTGTTTGGTTTAGACTAGCCTTGTTTGGTTCAGACTAGCCTAATTTTCTGTTCAGACTAGCCTAATTTTCTGTTAAGACTAGCCATGCTTTTGGCAAAGACATATCAGGCAGAAATCAAATGTTGGCAGTCTTACAGTCAAAAGCAAAACATTATCAAAGGTACATTAACCATCCGTCTGCTGTTCGCAACTGAATCTACACATGCAACCAGTGCAGATTTAAATCAGGGGGCATATTGATCTATTACTGCCGTCGGATCACGCTCAGCACTGTTTGCTATTCGGGCAATACTTATTTTGAAATTTTCATTTTAGATATTTACATGGAAAATGTTAACTGCCGTATAATGTTGTTTTTTTCAAAGCCGAATTCATACAGAATCTCACTGTCTATAATAATCATTAACAAATTGAAATATTCAAAATATTTATTTATAAAAACAATACTGAATAATAAGTGTTTTATAAAGATATACATATATATGTTTACAAGAAAGTAGTCTTTTTTCTATGTTTTTTTTTCCATATCATATATCTGAAGCAATTTCAATATAGGGCAATATGCATTGATTAGTTTTATTATTTCAAACTTCTCCCAATCATAAATTTTTGTCTGAGCATTTACATTGACCTTCAACCTGCTGGTGTAAACATATTTCACCCATGTGGCCAGAGCAGACCAAGACCAGCTTGGACATGCATGCCGTCTGATCATGGTCTGCACTGTTCACTATTCTGTCAGTTCTTACTTTGATACTGTTTTCCCGAAAAATGAAATTGTTCATTAATGATTAAGTGGGTACAAGGGATAAAAATTACTCATTTCTTCTCTTTGTTATTGTTTTATTGACCGTACAAGCATTATAAATATTGATAGGGCAGTTTGTATTGCATTCAGTTATAAATTTTATTATTGCCAATGTATTTATTTTTGTTAAGTTTGGTAGGGTAATTCATTCATTCTCAATTGATTAAAGTGAAAATGTTAAGATATTCGTAAATTTTTAAAGTTGAATACTAACAATTATTGTATTGATGAAACTCCACTCATTCTCTCTCATTCATGCTTCATAAGAGCTTAAGCTCACTTTTATTTCATTTTCCTATGATTTATGATTTTGTTTAAAGGGACTCCACTGAGGTTTTTTGACATGACAGGACTTAAATTTTTTTTGTTGAGATTTATGGTCCATTTGATGTAGGTTTAAGGTCCAATAATGTGTGTGCATAATTTCAGATCATTTGCTCACTATGTGTTTTTTTTTCAAATTGTAATTGAGAAAATGACCCAAATTTATAACACTTTTCACTAAAAATCGGTCAAAGAATAGCACAAAATTAAAATTTTCAATTTATTTCTGAGCATATTTCTTAAAAGTCTTTTCCATATCTTTCATTATGAATGCCCTATTTGATCTGTTAGAAATTTAAAATTTGGAGTTCCTTTAATTTGTATGCCTTTTTCTTATGATATCTTTTATGAGCCAAAACCATGATGAATTATGTGACTATCAGAGTGTTCATATTATATACATGTACATCAAATGTTTGGTATGTTGTGTAAATAAGCTATTTTTTTTTATAACTGTATTATTTTGTTTGATCTTTTGGATTAGCTAATAGGGCATCTAGCTGACAGGGCATCTAGCTGATAGGGCATCTAATGCTTGATGCTAGTTATATGTCAAAATGAGAATTGAAAAATTGTAATATTCACTTTTGACAAAAAAAAATGGGGGAAGAGGGGTGTGGGAGGTACTATGTTTAAATGGAATTTTCAAATTTTTGGATGTACGTAAATAAGAAACTTACATTGCTTATATGAAAAAAAAAGTTCGCTGATTACAGTGAAATTTTGACAGTTGTAGCGTCAAGACTATTTACGATTTAGAGCAGTTACTGTGGCTATTAAGTGTTTATATATTTCTCCAAAAACAGCAATATTTGTTTATAAATAGTTTAAACAATCGCATATTGATAAGTATTACATTGTTGTTTTACATTTTCATCTTGTTTTAAAAATTAAAGCAATATTCTAACTGAATGCATATTTTCTGTTTTGTTATATTTTGTTTATTTATTAGTTTGTACTGATGAACACGAAGTCATGACAGCCTTGTAATTTATTTAACCCTTAGCCTCCTGCAACCAATTGTATAAACAATGTAACTGCACTGTTACCATGGTTATGGTAACCAGTCCGTACGGTTACGGTAACCAGCCCAGTATCCTCGCAGTAAGCAATTGTATAAAAATTGAATATGGGGACAAACTGAAAATACCCATGCACCAGTGCTGGCACATCAGCTTACAATGTGTTGCTATGCAGACTGCAGAATTTTTAACAAAATTTCCTTAATATGAAAACAGATTGAAAGATCGACAAGTTCTTTAAAATATTTAGCATCCTAAAGAGTAATTATGCACTTGTTACTATATTATATTATCAGAAAACGATACGAATTTTGTATCTGTGTTCACATAACCAGTAGTCCGCAGTTATTTGTAGGTGGAAAATCTTACAAAGAAATCAATTTTAACAAGCATTACTATAAAAAAACTACCCTTGTAGTAAAAATTATGATATAGAAAACTCATTATTCCTAAGATTGATGTTTTATTTATAGTATTATATAAGAATACTTTGTTTTGTGTGAATATAAGCAGTAAAAGTCCATGAAGCAAAATTCTCAAGACCTGTGAATTCAACAACAAAAATCACCATTAAATGAAATAACAAGACTGCTCATTTTTTTATTTTTTAGATTGGTGAAAACAGTGCCAGTTTTCATGCTGTTATATACACAGTGAAAGAGATAGAATATATCTCACTGATCATGATGGGTTTTCCATTTATCATAGAAGCTAATTATAGCTGCAAGAATGACCAGTTGATATAGGGGATGTTCATTTTGGCCAGATGTCAACAATGTGCGAAAACCAAAGAGTTATTTATAGATCAAGAAATGCTATTTTTAGTAATACTAGGAACTTTTTAAAAAAATATATTTTTAAAAACTTAAGGAACCCTAGATTTATATTATGTAAAAAAAATTCCAGTGATTATTTTGAAATTACAACCTTAAATTGGTAAACTTTATTTCATAGCAATAATTTATAAGAATTCTCAATTTATCTCTGAGCATATTATTTCTTTATTATTATTTTGCTTTTTCAATATGATCGACTGTCCCATTTGATCTGTTAGAAATTAAGAATTTATTTCAGGTTTTGGACCTAAAAGTGGAGTTCCTTTAAGGCTAATTTGTATGCCTTTTTCTTGTGATAACTTTTGTTTGTTTGTTTGTGTCATTTTACGCCTTTTTTCAACAGTATTTCAGTCATATAGGCGGGTAGTTTCCTAACCATCGTACCTGGAGAGTTACACCAGTACTTAACTACCTTCCTCCTCGCTAAACTACCAAAGC